CGAGTCGTAGAGGTCGTAGAGGTGGGCACCGTCATTTGTGCTCACGTAGACGTCGGCCAGCTGGAAGGTGTCTCCACGCAATCTTCTCAGGCCACGTGTGTGTGTGTGTGTGTGTGTGTGTGTGTGTGTGTGTGTGTGTGTGTGTGTTCCTGTAACCAGAGCACTGTGTGTCCCTCTGTGAAGCTGCCCTGACCTTCTCATTATCTCCGATCTCTCCCTGCGTGCACACTTCAGGATCATTATCTCTGAGATAGAATTACACACACGCACATTTATCTAAACATGTATTCATTGCTGATACCCTCATATTGTATTATTCTGTTGATCTTTCTGTCTCCTTCCGTCTGTAACACACACACACACACACACACACAGATCAAGTGTCTCTTGATGCTGGATCGGATAATGGCTGTCTGGGCACAACCCGCCCACGGCAGCAGCTCCACAGGCTGTCAGGAGTAACGAGCTCCTCTGTTGCTCTTCTGTGTTTGGAGCACATCGAGCAGCTGTTGATGACATCACACATTAATCCTTCAAGTACTGCAAAACGAATTACTCCCGTTTGTTTTATTAACAGGGTTGCATTTGCTATTATGCACATATATGCATATAAATATAAAACAGCAGCAAAATGCATTTTTCCCCTCCTCATCTCTTCTGGTCTCTGTCTTCTCAGGGTCATCGCCATCCCCCTCAGCAAAGTCTTAGGTGTGAAGGATCGGATTCGGATTCGAGCCGCTTCCATCCCAAAGCTGGAAGCGTTCTATAAACAGCACAGCCAGCAGCCATCGCAGGTTGGTGTTCACAGGACCCTCTAACTGTCCGTGGAGTGCACTACTGTAACTATGGTACACGTAACAGGGAGTCATTGCTTTAAATGTGACACTCATCTGTATAATACAGTAAATTTTCCACCAATATATGAATAAATGAATTGTTGAAGTCACTTATAAGCATGCAGCCCAATAGGTTAAAGATCAGTTTAATGCACCGATTTTTCTAGTGTGCTGAAAACATTCAATTCAATTCAATTTTATTTATATAGCGCCAAATCACAACATAAGTCGCCTCAAGG